TTGGCTGACTCTGCTCTGTTTTGTTTGTTGCATGTTTGTTTGTTTTGTTCTTGTTTTTTTGGTCAGGCTGCATATGACAAGGTGAGGAAAGCCAAGAAGCAGGCAGAAGAGAGGACCCAGAGACTTGACGAGAACAGGAAGAAAGTGAAACTTGGTAGGTGACCTTGCTGGGCTGGCTGGCCTCTGGCTTCCCTCAGTCCTTGCTGTTAGTCTCTCTCACCTTGCTTATTAGAGCCTTTCCCAGGTCCTGGCAAAACTGTTTGGAGAGGCTGGGTCCTAAAGGCGCTCTCAGAAATGACATCTGTTAGTAGATATACTACTAAAGTTAAGACCCTCAGGGCTGGAGATGTGGCTCAGTGGTTAAAAGCACTTGTTGCTCAGGCAGAGAGCCCAGCTGCGACTCCTAGCCCACATGACAGTCACATCTGTGACTCCAGCTCCAGGGATCTGGCACTGTCTTCTGACTTCTGCAGGTACCAGGCATGCAGATTGTGCACGCAGACAAAACACTCACGCACATAATAGTAAAATTAAATATATCTTTAATATCCAGAAGCTTGCTGGAGTGGGGACCTGCACTAGTTTGGGTAAAGTCAGTGTTCTGACCTCCAGTGGAGGCTGCCTCTTTTTCACTCAGTCTAGCTCCTGCCCACTAACCCTGTACTCTGGGACAGTTCCTCAGAGCTCCAAGGGAGCAAAGTATAGTTGAACTTCTAAAGACACATTGTACATGTATTTATTTGGTGTGTGAATATACAGGTACATGTTGCAGAGCATCCGTAGAGGTCAGAAGACAGCTTGCAAGAACCAGTTCTCTGCTTCCATGTTGTGGGCTCAGGAGTCTAACTCAAGTCATCAGGCTTGGCAGCTAGCACACTTGCCTGTCAAGTCATCTCACCAGCCCCAATTTGATCATTTTCAATGAATTTACCAAACAAATAAATGGGCTGGGGTGTAGCTTTGTGATAGAATGCTTGCTTAGCATGTGCAAGGTCAAAACTGGGAGGTTCCGGGTAAATCAGGTAGGCAGAGGGAGAGTGGGTTCTAGGCCCCGAGAGAAGAGTTTATTCTAACAGTTGGCCTGGCTTGGGGCTTGGGATGTAGAGTACACCAGCAGCAGCCTGCCTGTCTGAGGAGAGGCCACTGGAACTCGGGTCATAGTGAAGCTTGGCAGAGGAGAGTGAGGAGGGGACACAGTGACAGCTTGAGTTCAGTGTTGGGAGATGAAGCAAAGCTGAGGCCCTGCCCAGGTCAGGCTGCGGTGCCAAACCACAGTAACAGAGCAAGCAGCTCCACCCACAGCCACTTTTGACACAAGGCCCTGGGCCGCTGACACAGCATCTACCTGTACACTCTGTTCACTTCATGGACAGAACCTGCTTGGTCAGTGTGAGCTCTTCTAGACCCGTGGCTGCTTGGCTGGAGCCCACATCTCTTCTGTGTATGTCCCTTTGCAATGAAAAGTAACTGGGAATGTTTGTGCATAGCAAGAGATGAGTGGGGTTGCTGTGTGGTGCCCTCTTGTTTGAGGTGTTGGGAAAACAGCCAGAGTCAGAGTGGGCTGAAGCCATAATAGATATGCAGACTAGAAATTTTACCACTCAACCCTTGTGCCTAGACCTAGAGGCCAGAGAGCGGCAGGCCCAGGCCCAGGTGAGCGAGGAAGAGGAAGAGAGCAGGAGCACAACCACACTAGAGCGGGAGGTGAGCACCCAGACCCACTGTCCTGAGTGAGGGTGAGTAGCTGCTGTCTGGGAAGAGCTTGCTCGTTGCCTCTGCTGTGGGAGCTGGGTGATCTGTCCCACATGCAGGCTGC